CAATCTCCTTTTTGTAGGGGATTTGTGTGTTTCTCTCACCTATCAAACTATCATCCTATAAACTCAACCTAAAAAATCCCAAATAACAACCCAACGAATCACGTTTTCTTGAAACAAAACCAGCAAAATCAAGTTTTAACAGCAGATAAATGGGGTGAAGGGGTACCGTTTAGACAATGGCATGTTCTGTCGTGGTTTCCCCTTTTGAACGAAGTTTTTTTTCCTGCCAGTTGGCGTTAAATCGATGAAAATCCAGACCAAGATAGAACCTAGATCTTTGTTCCCTCGATTTCTCAATGAAATCCCAATAACTCTGGATCTTTGTCGAAAAAAACACTTTCATTCTTACACTCTTGAAACTACAATAGAGTCACTGGGGGTATGCAAAACATCCGATTTGCTCTATCCCACTAACACCGTTAAGAAAGGAGCATTCTCATCCTTGTATCGATTTTTTTGTCCTTTATCAAATCAAAATTTATTTCATGATTTTGGTCTATATGGTTTATGATTGGATAAAAGACAAAAAAAATCTATAAATAACGAATACCTTCATTTAACGAATATTTTTAACATAGTATTGGAAGGAGAGATTAAATCCGAATGTTTTAGCAAATCACGATAACCATTATTTAATTTCAAAACTACAAGGATGAAAAGTGTCATCCAACAAACCACATGGACCAAATTTACAGTTTATTTGTTTAAGTTAATTTGATGGTAAAAAATTGGTGTAAATATATAATATTAGAATAAAGATGCCCAAGCTAACTTTAATTGATTTTGTTACATATCACAATGTTCACATGATTAATATTTTGTGGCACGTTCTTCAAAAATAATTATGATATATCTATACTATATTATAAAGCATTTAATAAAAACTCTTAAAAACCATCTTTTATAGATGAAATATTGCTTATTAATATATATTACTAAAAATTCAACATTACAAGTAAATTTTGCATAAGTACAACTTATTAAGTTCCATAGTTGAATTTGTGTAATTAACTGTAGATAAATATAATCAAATATAGAATAAAATTCTCATTTTTAATATATCTAAAATATAATTAGAATAATTATTGAGTTCTAACAAATTACATTATTAAACCAAAAACAAATTAATTCGTCATTAAACTTAAATTAAATTATAATAACAAAATGAGAGTTTTATATATATCTTTAACTTTTATGATATCTTCAAATTTATATTTAAAAAAAACATTATTGTTTTCTCAAAACCACATAAATTCATATTAAAGTATCGACATAGACCAAAAAAACAAAACAAAATATTAAAATCGAGATATATCTTGTTGCATTACGCAAATACCCTTTTAGTATATAATAAACATTTTTTTTTATTAACCTGAATATCTAACCCGCCATGCGAGCCGACTAGTTCCAGGACGACCACCTGTTTTGCACATAAATCGGCGTCACTGCATTTGAACATCCGTGGGCACAAAGGAATTTTTATTCCTCCTTGGATTTAAACCTGAGACCTCCTGATATTTTTGATCTTTAAAACCAAGTTGAAACCAGTCAATTACTTTTAAACCTTAGTTTGTTAATAAAACATACTTAAAAAGCTTAAAAAGTACAAAAGAAGAGGGTACCAAATTTACATTAATTTTAACTCCGGCGGCAGGTCAAATGTGTCAATATTTTATATATATATTTTGTGGATGGATTATTTTACGATTTCTCGATTACTTTTCATAGGATTCTAAACAAAATAGCGTCAAAAATCATCAATGAACCTCAAGATTCCTTTTACAGATTTTATTGCATATTTTATAAGATTTTTTGTCATCTAATAATCGATTTATATCAAACGTTTATCAGATGTAAATTGCTTAACGAGTAAGAATGATAAAGATCAAGAATCTTATCTAGTAAAAGAAATAACAAAGATGGATATTTTAACCTGATAAGTGAGAAAAGACTCTTAAAATGCTAATTAACGCTTATGTGATAAAAAATGCTTATCAACAATCTGTTTTGATGACCGAAAAATGTTACTCAATAAAGTAAATATGGAGTGGTCCTTGTTATTGATAAATGTATATTAGCTTAATTGAATAAAAATATATTAAGAGAAGGGTAAAATTGCATGAAAAAGTAACATACTTTAATTTGATTTTATTTTGAGTAGCGTACTTGATTCATATTACCACATCACTCGTCACATCAGCATGATAACCAGTTAATACTTCAACCAGTTACCCGAGTACTTATATGTCTAAAACTTTACATGTTAGATGTCAAAATAAAAGTTTTAAAAGTACGTTATCCAAAATAGAAATTAAATTAAAATACATTATTATTTTTTTATACAATTTACCGAAATTAAATATAAAGTTTTTAGACGTGGGAAATTTGCTACTCGTACATATTTGGATTAAATAAATATAAATATAAATTATATTATTAAAAAATTATAAAAAGAAAAAGATAATGAAAGGGACCAGGTGTCCAGGTGGAAGTTATCCTTAACATAAATCAGATTTATTTATTTCATAATTAATCATTCAATAATTCATCACCTGCCGAAACCCTACCCCCCATCACTCTTATTCTCATTTTACTTTTTAATAAAAAAATATATATTTTTTTAAATAAATCATAATTTTAAGAACAGGTTCGAGCTTTAGCTTAGTAATTCTCGAGCTCAAAATTGATCTCGGACATGAAATAAGGCTCGTCTAACTTAACAAGTCTAGTTTCGACCGCCCATTGATATTCATGAGCGGATACATGGGGTACTGGTGGGAGCCATATGAGTTTCGAAGTAGTATAGGTTGTTTACGGTATTTTAATTAAGGATGCTATTGTTTTGTTTCGTTGTATTAACTGGTGTAACCAGAAAGACATTTTTATCTGGATCTGTATATCTACCAGTATTCGACTTGGTATATCAAAATCGAGATAAAAAACTTACATTTTCTGTTTATAAATTGTAAACAATATTATCAAGCTTGATCAGTACTCGAGTTAGAACATTGAAAAGGTATTCTAGCTGGAACACTTACCCACACTAAAAGTTAGAATAAATGAAAATAAATTAGTATTCATCAACAATTATCTGTTATCTTAAATTTGTCTTTATTCTTTAAACTTTCATTTCGGTGATGATGATGTGATTTTGTTGTGATTTTGTTGTGATTTTGTTGTGATAAATCCAATATTTATTATGATGTGATTTTGCTGTGATAATGATGTGACTGTGCTGAAAGTAGGGGTGCTCAAAAACCCGTTCAACCTAACACAATCCAAAGCAATCCAATGTCAAATTGAGTTGTAAAATTTTCAAATCGTAGGTATTGGTTTGATATTGGATTACTTTTATTTGAATTCAACTCAACTCAATGAACCCCATATTCTTTTATTTCTTGGATTTAATATAATTTTTTAGTCTCTATTAATATGTATATTAGACAATTAATAACGTACCCTCTTCATATGCATATATTTTCAATCTATTCTTTTCTCTGTATAACTTATTTGTATATATGTTCTGTAACTGTGAACACACACACATATACACATGTATATGCAAATTGAAAATTTTGATTGAATGTTATATACTTAAGATTTAAGAAAGTATGAATAAGTTGTACGAAATGGTTGATGATGAAAAAAAAAATTATGAATAAATTATAGAAAACAAATTATTTATGGTTAAAAAGATATTTTGATGTACCGAAATATCAACTTGATCAACCTGTGTGGTTTGGGTTAGGTTGGGTTCACTTTGGTTTAGGTAGTGTTGGATTGAGATTTTTTAGACTGCAAACATCGGGTTGTGCTGATGTCTTTAACCCGAATAACTTAACCCATAAGCACTCCTTGTTGATAATGATGTGATAAATAAAAAACCAGTGATAATTATGTCCACAATCATCGGTTTTGTCTGTTGATTATGTGATTTGCAGTTTTTCTCATTTTACCCTTCATATTTTCGATATTCCTAAAACATAGTAAATATTTATTTAATATTTTATTGTTCTTTAAATCTTTCTGTTCTCACATTTATGTTATATATCACATGTGTCCTCGTTTAAACCCGGCCTCTATTTACACATACACATACACATACACATACACACACATACACATACACACACACATACACATACACACACACACACACACATACACACACATACACATACACATACACATACGCACACACATACACATACATACACATACACATACACATACACACACACACACACATACACACACACACATACACATACACACACACATACACACACATACACACACACACCCATACGCATACGCATACGCATGCGCATGCGCATACGCATGCGCATACATATTCTATTAAGTAGCTTGCAGGAACAACCAATGGCAGGCCAAGAGAACTGAAGAAGGTAATAGACATACAGTATGCATGTAGAAGGATAAGAAGAAACTATTCGAATTGAACCTACAGAGTATATAACACCATTAATTACGTACTAATTAACTATACCTTTATATCGAAGATGGCAGATTATATATAACTCGATCAATGCAAGTCGCTCATAACGGTTCTGCGCTATATAGGGTTGGGTTCACATGATACCAGCCTATTTCCGTGAGACCACTTCTTTACGCTTGAAACTTCACAGCAAAACACTGTGAAGGTAAAAAACCCCGAACTTTCACAACAAAAACATTATGAAGGTTACCTCCACAACTTTTTGCTGTCAAGTTTTAAGGGTCTTACGAAAACAGTTTGGTCTCATGTGATCCAAACATTAAGTCGGGATATATATACATGTATATATATCTATCATCACAAAATTATTAATGGTTCATGGTCATACATATAACTCACTTGAATCTTACTATTAATTGCTTCAATTAATTAACCGGATATACATGTTTAACCCATTAATTAGTTATTAACTTAATTCATGCAATATATACACTAATAACAGCTTGAAAGAACCCTAGCTAGCATTCATACCTTTTGTTTATAGAACTATTCTGAATATTTACAAAAAACAAGCATACATGCATACGTTACGATGGAACCGATCGACAAGATTTTTGTTCGAACAGATCAAAACATCGAAAGATATAGAAATAAATGATCAGTATGGCTGCAGGTTGCAACATCTTTACTATGAGCAAGCTCTCATTAATTGCTAACAGCTTATCTAATGAGGTTTTCGGGCTTTTAATCGACATTCAAATGGTTATTGGCAATGGCTGTTAACCTTTGTTGCAACGCGGAGGGATCGGTCCATGCGGGTTCATTGTTCACCTGCAAGAATTAATGATCGGCCAAAGGAAGGATATATATACGGAGAGAGAGAGAGAGAGATAGCAAAATTTTAATTCATGGAAACTGTAATTGAACTTTACTATGTGTTTTTACAAATGGTTATCATCGATCAAGAAACTTATCGTACCTCGGATTGGATGGTGTGAAATAATCGTTCGCTTACTTTAGTCGAAGTGCAGCTTATTATGTTAAGACCTTCTTCAACAAGTGCTTTGAGTACTCCTGAAAGAGAGAACCCATCTTGAATTGAACAGCTATTGATTAAGATCTCAATTCCACCATTACAAGGGTTTACGGAGACCGTATTAGGGAGCAGATTAGTTAAGCTTTCATTCGTGTTCATCGACCCGAGATGACGAGCACTCATGCCTGCAAACTTTTTGATCAGCTGATCTCTTTGGGCACCTTGAACTTTGATATTTTCCTGCATGTGTTTGATATAGTTCACTGCCTGGTGCATGTGATCTGATGTTGAACGTTTTCCCTAAAAACCAAATCCAACAAGAAATTAGGGTTTCAAATTCTCCCAAGTAGAAACAAATATCAAGAAATCTTGAGGTTCATGTTGAGACAATTATGCATTATTTCTTGAAAGGATGTCCGTCTAGACTAATTCAAATAAACTGTGACAGTAAGAAATCTGTCTTGATAAACTCAGTGGTCACTACTGTTGTGTATGACTTGAATCGAACCCTGGATAGATGGGATATTCGACTCCATCCCCGTTTGGTTATTATGCAGTATTTTAGTGGGAAAACAAACCCTATTGAACATGATTCCTGCAACAAAACAAACACAAGAAATTAAGTAGCTGCTGACCTTGATGAACTCAAGAGGAAGTAGACTTCTAAGTGAAGAACAAAGCTTAGCCATGTCTTTCCTTCGCTGCCTTTCCAGTTCTTTGTGAATCAACTTTCTCTGTGCATCATCTTTACCATCTCCAACCCTATCGGCATGAACCGGATTAGGCTTAGATGTCGACAGATCTCCGGGTCTTTTTCTCGTCTTAATGGCGGGATAGTTTATATTCCTCTCCATGGTAACATGATCTTGAAGATCCACAGGAAGATCTTGTTGACCAACTTCATGGAACACCAGATCATCACTTTGCAGAAAAGAAAACATGATGATCAGATGCTGATCTTGGAATAAGCCCACCAGGGATTTGATTTGGTTAAGGTTTGTATTTGGGGGTGATTACAGTATGAAACAGAAATCGATTAGGTATAGCTGCTGGTTGGTATGGTTTGATATGAGATGAGATCTTGAATAGTAGGGACAGATGATCAAGATTTCTTGAAATCTTTAATTATATATATATATATATATATATATATATATTAAGTAGTATCTTTTGTGTTAAGAATTTGAAAACCATGATGAACAGCATCAACCAAGGATCCTTTTTTCCTTTTTTGGTTATTATTTAAAGGGTTTTTATCATTTTTTTTAGAATTTAATTAGCATGGTACTGTTTTAGGTTTAACAAATGCAATTGTGTTCACACTCATGAACCAGCCACCTTAAAGTTGGGGTTTTTTGTCTGAATAAGCAGATGACGTCATCTAAATGAAACTAAAAAATAATTACTGGATTCACAGTGGTATTTATAGATTAAGATGGGTGAATTTTAAACGACAACATAACCTAAATAATATCTATACTATCTTGTTAAGTAAATTTAACAAAAGTTTTAAAGTCTTAAAATACTAAATGACCAAAATATCTTTTACTCACTTTTTCATCCCCTCATCTCCTCACATACACTCACCATTTCCGATTTTTTTTTAATTATAATTTTAAATTTACACTTTATAACCATATAATTAATTAATTAATTTACTTTACGTCTTTTACTTTTAAATGTTTCATTTTAAACTTTCATCAAATTAACATACATAATCGTATATCAATTAAAACATGTTTAAAAAATACATTTTTATTTTAACAAGTTACACCATTATAATCGTCTCGTTAATACCTTYGAAATGAGTCCAATATTGAATAGTTTTTTACTTAATTATATTATTATATATTATATATATTGTGAAAAAATATTTTTAATACTTACGATTTATACTTTTATAGTTATTTATTTATATATATACTATATATTTTGGAGTTAGACTGTCCAAATTACATTGTATAATATGTTTTGAATTAATATGTTCTTGGGTTTTTTTGAAATATATATATATGTATTAATTCAACCTTAATCTGAGTTTCTGGACAAGAAAGAGGGTAAGCAGTTGAAATTTCATTATAAAACCCAGTTTTTTTTGTCTTTTCATGGCATATGATCTGTCAAATTTGTAGTTTTCTTTATTGRTTTTGAGTGTTTATCTTAAAACTCAAGTTTCTTGGTTCTTTGATCTTGGTGTAAATTGAATACATTTGTGTAGTCGTTTATAATATGTTGGATTTTAAATATATTAGATTTTAAACTGTCATACGTTTTTTTTCACCGATAGTCTGTAATTGGAACCACAACTCTTATTTATTCAAATTGTATTAATATGTAAAGACCAAGTGTAACCTATATCATCGTTAAATCTTATTTTATAAAACCAGTGGGACTTCAAAATCGTTAAAATTAATGACTCCCGTCGCATTGCGCGGGTACACAACTAGTAATAAGAAAACGTTTGAATCACATGTGATTCACATGACTCTAGTTGCGATCTAATGTCGTAGACCATGTCGTTTGTACAACTATTGTGTTTACAAACACATGTGATTTTATACGTGATTTGACCGTTTTTGTGTTCTTTTATTTAGTTATTGTTCTCGTTTGAACATTGATCCATCTCTCTCTCTCTCTCTCTCTCTCTCTCTCTCTCTCTATATATATATATATATATGACATCTTAATTAGGATTTTGAAATATAAATAACAGAAGTAATTCAGTGATTCAGAAGGTGTAGAGGCCGAATATGACGATATCAAAATATATATTGGGTGGATATCGTAAAGGGTTGTCTCGGGGTGTTGTGTTGTAATTCAGAAGCTCCGCTGAAAATGAAGGGCAAATTTTATAGGGTAATAACCTGACTACTATTGTTGTTGTATGGGTCGTATTATAGAACAATAAGGAAAGTTGGAAGTTGTGAAAATGACGATATGTCAATGGATATGTGGTTGGACCATATTCGACAAGATATCTATTATTTGATTTGATAATAACACAAATACATACATCTGATCCAACATTTAGAATTAAATATTCTTAAAGTCTTATTTCAAGAAGCAGACAATTCAGACTTGCTCTTATATCCTAATTGTCCTTCATCCATATCTCATAATCCATAATTGAATTTTTGGACTTATTAACCGGACTTATGATCTGGATTCAAAATGTACCAACCGGATTTCTTATCCAGATTTGTCTTGACTCCGAATTTGAATTTGTCCAACTACCATTTGGTTCATATTTCCGATACTTCATAAATCAAGTCTACTCGAATCCAAAATATAGCTTATTTTTTCGAGGGAAGAATCGGATAAGATTTTTTTTCGTTGTAAAAGCGTTATTGGTATAAGAGAAAAAAACCTTCTAACAAAATATAAAACTAGTTGAAATGTAGCCAAAATTGTCACAAAAACGGATTGGTTTGTCATCTAGTCATATGAAGTTCAATACAAGATAAAGTCAAAAGTAGTCTGACAAATACTATTTCTAGCAAACCGATTTTGGAGAGCAAACTTAACCAACATGTTTAACTCACCAACTCTCATCTTGGTATAGAAACATGTTTAGCATGTCAAACAAAGTAAGGTCTAAAGTACTATTTTATTAGTACCATACTTCCTTTATGGTTTCCCCTACAGACAAAAGAATGAGTTGTGTTAACAAACGTTTACATCATTCTTAATTACTAAAATGAAGAGTACAAACATTCAATGATCGGCAAATTAGATGAAGAAACGTGTTAAAGTTGGATAACAATATTAATTACAATGGTGACTATAAAAGGTCATCATTATCATATGTTGCAACGAGTGATAATTTCGTAGGCAAAATCTGTGTCAACCATCTATAGGACTCTTCTTTAGATCTAAAATGGTACCACCTTCCTCTCTTTCAGTTCTTAGCAAATTTATCACCAACCAGATTGTTTAACTAGGATTAGGTTTTATCTCTTTAGCTTCTGCAACAAATCTGTAATTCTCTGTTTTTATTAACATACATAATTAAAAAGTGAAAATTTGTTGTGTTTGTATTCAACCATTTTCTACAAACAATTTATGTGTTAATCATTACCAATCCAGGACCAACAATACCCAACAAGGTATCCGGGACGGTGGGTTGTACCTATCTTGGATGAGTTAGGGGATGGAAAATTATCTGGTTTGGTTGATCATTAATTTGTGTTTTTATCTTTTTAGACATGAAAACGTGTCCGCTTATTTTCCGCTCAATAAAGACATAAACCCATTTCTACTTATATATATATATATATATGTGTGTGTGTGTGTGTATAGGGGGACTATTCATGGGATAACTTTGTCTTCTGTGAGAACTATGAGATCAAATCATAACCACATGAACACATACATGGTAATTCATTCAGACTATGATTACTTACTTAATCCAAACCAATGCGTTTTTAATTTCAAACATTTAACCCAAACATTGTAATTCGTACGGTTAATACTCAATGACCCAAGGCATGAGTGTTTTATGTCTCAAACATTAAACCTAGACATGATAATTCATACCGTGGATATTAACTAAAATAATAGATATAGTTGGATCTCATAGTTCTCACAAATAACTAGTTTTTCAAATAATTACAACCATACATACATATATATATATAGATATAGATATAGGGGGGTGTGTGTGATTCCCTAGTGTTAAAGAAACCCTAAAAAATGGGGATTTTTTTCAATACCATTATTAATTATTTTAGAACCAATGTTTTATGCCCAACCCACCAAGGGCTGTGATAATGGAGATTAGAGAACACACACCAACAGCATCAAGGGCTAAATCTTTAAACCCTTTTTCAAATTCAAAGAATGTACAACTCTTGATGCATCAGGTACAAACAAGAGTATTTCTAGAGAGACAGCAAGCAGCTTTATATATATATATTGCCATCTTCTTAACACCCACCAAATCTGGTTATTGGGAGTTTTTATATTCCTTTAAAAGGATTTGGTTGTTTATTAATTCCTTGATATAATATTAATGATCGATGATTTCTAAAGATTTGGAAAAAGTAAAGTGTTTATTTTCTCATATATTAATGATGATTCAATTCAAAATTATCGTTTATATACTAAAGTTATGGGGTAAGTACTTGTCGGGTGTCGCTTACCTTCGAGATGAACATTATAAGGACTTAGAATCTTATACAGTAAGAGGCATATCAACTTCAAAACCGAGAATCTTACCCGATAAATGAGGGGAAGATTCTACCTGGTAAACTAAAAAACGTTTACCCACAATTCTTTGGCAGAAAATGTTCCTCGATAAGGTAAGTTAGGGTGGTGCTCTTACCGGATAATTGTTTGCATTTGTTACGCTCAATTGGACAGTTTTGTGTTAACTAAGTCATTCAGTCTTGAAAACTATACAAACCAACCGAAAACAGAACCGTAATACGAGCTATCCAAATCAAATTATCGAATAACATTTTATGTTAATTAGGTGCGGTTTCGTTGAACCCGATCGTTTTTGGGCTAATGCTATTGGGTTGTTATTCTAGAGCTACAGCTTAGTCGATGACTCGATGGTACCGGGCTGCTTCTATTGGGTTAATTGCAAGTTTTGAGTTGGGCTACTTTTTTTGGGCTAATACCAAGTTTTGAGATCGAGAGTAGACCACTGTTATTGGGCTACTCTTATTGGGCTAGTAGCATGTATTAGGATTTAGGCCCATTTCTATTGGGCTATTATCAGTGGGCTGCTGTTGATAATAACCAACAAAAAATTACATCTATACTATATTATAAAGCATTTGGCTAAAACTCTTAAAAACACTTAAAACTCTTAAACTCTTAAAAACTCTTAAACCCGTTCATCTCTATCCGATTTCATCTCATATCTAAATTCGTATAACTAACTGCAGATAAACACAATCAAATACAGGATAAACATCTCATTTTAAATATAAAAAATCTAAAATATAATTAAAATAATCATTGAGTTATAACAGAATAYTTAATTATTATCTTTATAAAATGTTATATTATTAAACCAAAAATAAATTATT